GGAGTTCTTGGGATCTCAGGGCCGAGGTGACGTGGTTATTCGGCCCTCATCCAAAGGTCCAGACCATCTGGCCGTTACATGGAAGGTGGCGGATGGTGTTTTCCAGCACATTGATGTTCTCGAGCTGGATAAGGAGAACGAGTTCTCAGTGGGCCGAACGTTGAAGGTGGGCGGTCGCTACACGTACAGTGATCTGGACGACTTGATTTTCAACCATGTCAAGGCAATGGCCAAGAAGGTGGACGAGATGATGCTGCATGAAAAGTATCAGGACGGCACCCGGGATGCTACTTGTAAGTTTTACTGTCTTTTGTGCCTGTTCTCCTTCGTCTTGCTTACGCTCCCCTCCGCAGACTCCTGGCTGGAGACATACACCAAGGCCAATCCGCGCCGGTCGGCCTACGCGTTCTGTCTAGACCCCAAGCATGCAGGCTACTTCTTTCTGTGCTTCAAGGCGGGTGAGAATGCTTCGACGCACAGCTGGCCAGTGAAGGTGATCCCTCAGGGATATGAGTTGCAGCGCAACCCTTATCCCGACATGCGGGCATTGTGCAATGGCTTCAAGCTGCTGTTTACCAACATGCAGGCGGGCAGGCGTCGTTGAGGAGAGGACCTCTTTGGTGTATACTTGTGTAATATTTGGGTTGGAAAATGCTTGGAAGGAAGGAAATTAGGGAGGATGGATTGTCGCTTCTTCTTCTTCTTCATCTCCCTCTTCGTCTTCACACGTTTCTATTCTGATTCTCCCATTCTCGTGTAATTCATTCCAGTTTTCATTGGCATTGATCCCATTTTGTCGTATGAATCTTCTATTGTTGTCCTTGCATCAGGTTGCGGGAATGCATCATTGGTTTACTCACTTCTTGTGCTACTATGGGAATCTATACAGTACCGGGATGTATCTCGGAATAGCTCTTAATTGATTGGCATTGTATTGATGATTTTCTCATTAATTTTCTCTCTACCAAGATTCGGGGTTGTTTCTGTTTGCTTGTGACCGACCAGGCTGACCGACCGACCAACCGACCGACCGACCGGAGGGGGAGGGGACTCAAAAATGAGGAGATGAGAAGAAGTGTAGATAGAGAGTAGAGGCAGTGGAGGCAGTAGAGGCAGTAGAGGCAGTATAAAGCAGAGTCAGTCCAAGGTTGTTCTCGGCTGACCTGCCGCGTCTCTCAGAATCTCTGCTGTTTCGGGGAGCTTTTCCCCATAAGTTGAACCCTTCCTTCCTTCCTTGTTCTTCTCGTCTCTTCCTCCACCTCCACCTTCTCATCTCCACCCTCACCTTCACCTTCACCTTCACCTTCACCACCTCCTCGTCAATCAAAACAATCCCCTCCCTCTTGAAATCAACTTTACTATACCTCCATCACTCAATGCTTCTCAATTCGACCTGAAACCTCTGGTCCGAGTGAGTGACCCTGTAACAAGGGAATCTCTCCTCCTGCTGACCACCCCTCGTGCAGCTGAGCCTTGCCCTCGATTCTCTTTGTCAGCCTTGTTTTGTTCTTAAGCCCTTTCCCCCCCCCCAAAAAAGTCCCCCCAAGTCAACACTGGCTTCTCTCGCTTCTCTCCGTCATCAACATCTTCACCCCTAAATTATTCTTGACACGGCCAAATCTTCTTGCTTGTTCACCAGCCTCGATTGACCTGCCTACGGCCCCGGACCCCCCCCCCTCATCGTTGCTTCCCCGCACCCGTCATGGCTGCCATGGAGGAGTTGGAGATCCACAGCAAGGTAAGGGATGGATGACTGACGCCTCGTGTCCCCCTATTCCCTTTGATCCCGAGTCGATCTTCGCCTTGCATCGGTATCTCCGCGCCGATCAGATCGTGCTGAGGCTGACCCCCAACTCTACTGCGTGCCAGTCCTACTTTGTCCGCTGGGTTGCTGTCAAAGCCTGTCACACTATCTCATGGAGCATCCAACCACATAAAAAATCGATCAACTTCGGTATCTTCAAACATCCTGGCAATTCCGCCCTCCTTGGGTCGAACACAAACCTCCCCGCGACCGCCGACACTCCCAGCTCCGAATCACCCGATCCGATCACCGCCAACACCGGCGGACGCGCCAATGGCTCCATAATTGAGCGCTTAACCGGCATTGGGCTGAAGCAAGTCCAGTGGCTTGGAAGATGTGAGGCCGAACGTATAGTCCGCGGCACCTATGATGTCCCTGCCAACGAGGGAGGTAACTACGGGCTTGTCTTCGACAATACATTCTCCAAGCAGATCTCCAAGACCGTGACCCTCGTCCTGCTCACCTACCCAACAGCTCTACCGCCACAGTCAGTCCCAGTGCCGCATGCAGCGAGTCAACCACAGCAGGGCACCGCTGATTCGGCAGCGATAACCGAGGCCGGAAAGCCCCTGCCAGCGCGCCGTCGGGGCAACAGCATGCTGCCCCCTCCGCCGCCGTCTCAACCCACTGAGATCGACTCGGCTCAAACCTATACGGGTTTGTTGCAGAAGCGAAGGCGAAAGCGCCACCAGGGATGGGCGCGCCGTTTTTTCTCGCTCGACTTCACCTCCTCTACCCTATCCTACTATCACGACCGGAACTCGTCCGCCCTGCGCGGCTCTATACCTCTCAACCTGGCCGCAGTTGCCTGCAACCAGCAGTCGCGCGAGATCTCGATTGATTCGGGTACGGAAGTCTGGCATCTTCGCGCTAGTAATGATCAAGAGTTCGCTGCCTGGAAGCGTGCTTTGGAAAGGGCGTCCTCTTCCAAAAGCTCGGCCGAAGATCCCAACCACCCATCGGAGCCGCTGTTGCGGGTCCCTTCCCAGCGCGTACACGCCAACGCTGCCGATGAAAGAGATTGGGAGCAAGTGGAGAGTTTGGTTAGCAAGGTGTCCGGCACGCGTGATGCTGTCCGGCGCCTGGCTAAGGACACCGATCCAAAGTATCTAGGCCCGGACCGGCCCCGCGGCCGCTCTCCGAGCCCTCACCGTACCCCAACCGATATGAGTGGAGAAGAGCCCAATGATGGCCGAAGGCCGTTTTGGAGGCGCAAGAGCAGTGCCACCGTCCAGCCCACCGTTAAGCGCAGTACCACCATGAATTCCATGTCCTCCCAGCTGGCCATTCCGGGCGCCTTTGATTCGTCCTCGGTTCATGGCGATCGCAAGCCCGGCAGCATCACCAGTCACCCCGACCACATGGACGAGATCCACGAGCATCTGATGGCCGTCCTACGGGACCTAGACCACGTCGTCAGCGAATTCTCCAGTCTCATCGCCGAGACCAAGCATCGCCGTCGTCAGCCTGGCCGGTCGCTGCAGTCACGGCATAGCTTTGAATCCGATATGTCGCAAGAGTTCTTCGATGCTGTGGATGACGGCCATACCTCGGCCCTACTGACCATTCAGGGTGATACCAACAGCGAGGATGAAGATCCTCGCGGCGGGAAGACCAATGGCAACGCCATCTCCTCAACACTGGCCAAGGAAGACGTCGTCACAGACGATGCACCCTCGGACAGTGATGATGATGAAACGATTCCAGAAGAGACAAGCGATAGCCATGACCAGTCATCGCCGCTGTTCCCGGTGCGGCCCAAATCGCTAACGCCATTGCCTCTGAAACCGGTGCCGCGGCGCGAGAATATCACTGCCCCAACAGTAATGCCGCCGAGCCTCATCGGGTTCCTGCGCAAGAATGTTGGCAAGGACTTGTCCCAGATTTCTATGCCTGTTTCCTCCAATGAGCCTCTTTCTCTGCTGCAGCGTGCGGCCGAGGTCCTTGAGTACTCAACGCTACTTGACAAAGCTGCCAATGTCTCTGATCCAGTGGAGCGGCTCGTATACGTGACTGCGTTTGCATTGTCGCCGTTATCAAGCAATCGTGTCCGGGAGCGCGCCATCCGTAAGCCCTTCAACCCTATGCTCGGCGAGACCTACGAGTTGGTACGTGAGGATTTGGGATTTCGATTCATCGCCGAGAAAGTCTCCCACCGACCCGTCCAGCTCGCGTACCAGGCCGACGGCCCGGAATGGAGTCTAACGCAGTCCCCCATGCCCACCCAGAAATTCTGGGGGAAATCTGCCGAGATCGTGACAGAGGGTCGCATTCGCCTCACGCTTCATACCACTGGAGAACACTACAGCTGGGCTTCGGCAACCTCGTTCCTGCGCAACATTATTGCTGGTGAGAAGTACGTCGAACCGGTCGGCGAGACCACCGTCGTCAATGAGACGACCGGCCACAAGACAGTATCAACCTTCAAAGCCGGCGGTATGTTTTCCGGGCGCAGTGAAGAAGTTAGTACCAAGACCGTTGATGCTGGCGGCCGTGACCTTAGCCTCGGATTGACAGGCACATGGACGACCTCCCTTCAGCTCACCAAAAACGGTTCGCCAACTGGCACAGCAGTCTGGAATGCGGGCCCGCTCGTCCCTAATGCCCCTAAGCACTATGGCTTGACGGCGTTCGCGGCGAGCTTGAATGAAATAACCCCGATTGAGGCGGAACAGCTTCCGGCGACGGATTCACGGCTGCGACCGGATCAGCGCGCCCTCGAGGATGGGGATGTCGACCGTGCCGAGGAGTTGAAGGTTCAACTTGAGGAAGGGCAACGCGCCCGTCGCCGTGCGATGGAGTCGGCTGGCGAGCAGTGGACGCCGCGCTGGTTTGCACAGGTGGACAATGCGCCCGAGGGCGGTGAGGTTACATGGCGATTGAAGCCCGGAAAGGAGGGCTACTGGGAAGAAAGGGCCAAGAAAGCCTGGACTGGCGTGGTGCCGGTCTTTGAGGCCTAATGCCCCCGAAATCCCGAACCTTCTGGCCTCCATACATACATACACGATCTAATATCTCGGGTTCTGATTCTATGAAATAGACCCTTTGATCCTTTGTTTCCCCACCACGCTTACACTGTATGTGTACCTTTTCACAGGTTGAGCTAGCTAAAGTGCTCGTTTTTATTGATTCCCGGTAAATATGCTAGCTAGCCATATGTATTTTTGCAAGTCAAAGCAGACTATGCAAGGAAAAACCATAAACTAGAAGAACAATTCGCTCTGTATTTCCACACTACACATGGAACGAGTAACACAAGAAGCTGGGACAGGAATCTGAAGAATGCAAAGAAGTCAGGCACAAGAATCCGCCGATTAGGTCATCTACCGTAACTATTTATATGAGGTTGTGTAAATGGCAAATATGATCAATCGAGATGCAGGGCAGATAAAAGGAATCTGAATCTTGCAAGAAAAAATAAGAAAAAAGAAAAGCATGTAATAGAGTAAAGGGAAAGGCGCATATCGCGAAGATCTAATTTTGACTAATATTCTTCATCGGAGTGATCATGGACAGCCCATCGGCGGTTATTCCGGGATTTGGCGGCGCGTTTCGCAGCGCTACGATCTGAGGAAGAGGCGAAGTTCATGCGTACCATCACGGGGAGATTATCGAGGACGGCACGGTTTCCCTGGAAGTAATGGGCGGCAAACCCACCCTGCAAGATGCGACGGAGCGAGTTCAGACGGATCCACTTCCACCACCGGTCAATGTTCATGACACCCTGGCTGCCGACCTTAACGGTCAACTTGCTGCCGTAACGCCGGTTCGTGTCTTGATCAATGGCGGTGTTATACATGGGCCCTCGCCGTGGGTTGGTAACGGTGGTTAAGATGGAGGTGAAGTTGCTGTGCAGGCTCTTCTTGTCGCGTTTGCTGATGCGTTTGTTGTGGATCGTGGCCAACGACTGCAATTGCTGTTCGAGCTCGTGGGTGTTGTGGTAGGCATTGTAGCGCTTGATGAGCTTGGGGCCGGACCGCTCGCCGGGCGATAAGAAGGACTCTTCGTCGGAGTCAGCGTCATTGGAATGACCTTCCTCATCTTCCTCGTCTTCGTCGTCTTCCTGCTCGGTATAGCTCTTTTCATAGAGGAGCGCAATATTCTCCCCAGCGGCGACTTGCACGCCCGAGTCGCCGCTGTCCAGCTGATCCATGAAGATCTGCACAGCATCCTCACTCTCACCTTCGAGATCGTCAATCTCTGTCGCGAGCATTCCCCATTCCTGCAACGCGGCCGTAACACTGTTGGCATCATCCGGGGCGTCAATAGACTGGCCATCGGAGGCCGCGATGTCGAGGAAGAAGGTCATCTGATCGAGGATGCCGTCTTCACCAGCACCACCGAACATAGTGCAAACACCAAGACAGTGGATGGCGGCGGCTTTGATCGAGGTCGAGGTGGAGTCCCGAATGCTGCGGGATAGGAGTGACTCGACATTCTCATAGATAGTGTTGTCAAAGGCCGTGATGGCCAAGAGCTCGAGGGCGCGCAGAGCTAGTGTTGTCTCGCGCACGCTGGACTCGAACTTGACACTGCGGCAGAAGGCCGCCAGCAGATCAGAGACCTGGCTACGAATGTGATCCTCGACGTAATGGGACTTGGCCAGGCGACAGAACGCGGCGTAGGCCTCCTCGCGACTTAGGATACTGCTACGCTTGCGGTCGAGGATGTCAGCAACGACATCGTCGAGTTCCTGCGTCCAGTTGTTGGTGTCCTGATCGGGATCTTCAGTGAGGTCATCCAACGAGCCAATGCTATAACGTCCGAATCAGCATTAGTCAGGCCAAGAAATTTCGAAAAGTTGGCGATGATGTCATCCCGGGGAAGCGGGCGGCGCATAGAGCACACAGAATAGGGTAGGAAGGATAAAGGATAACCGGTAGAAAGGGAAAAAGAGGAAAAAGAGCTCACCTCAAAGCAGTGGTCTCATCGCTTAGGTTTCCTGCATCTTCTTCATCCGAGCCATAGCGACTGGTCGGCCGCGACGAAGGACGAGAGTTTTGGGCGGAGGCGGTGCGCGATGTGCGGCGCGAGCCTTCACGAGAGGCGGCCTTGCGAGAGATCGTCTTGCCGCTCTCCAACACCTGACGACGTAAGTCTGGCATGGTGATAATTGTAGTTGGCAGAGCAAATATGTGAAGAGAATGGCCGCTGTGGCAAATCAAGGGGGAAAAGATTGGTCTTTTTTTTTCTCCCCTGTGCTTGTTTGGACCCTGACAGGCGGGTTATATAGCCTTAGGTTTGGAGAATGGGTCGAGAAGTAAGGGTTGTCTGGTGAAAATGGAGAGGGTGAGGGAAAGAAGCTATGCTAGAGGTATAGAAGATGTCGACTGTAAGAAGATTTCTTCGGAGACAAATGACATGGTAAGTTTGAGAAGGAGAGATTCTTCTTCGATTGAAGGAAGAAAAGAGAGAGAGAGAAAGAAGTGGATTAGAGGAGAAGAAGAAAGAGAAGAAGAAAAGAAATCCGAATAGAGGACGGAGAAAGTCAGTCAAGTCAACTGGTGAGTGAGTGGTTCCCGCTCTCGGCCCTATTGTGTACCGTACCGTACCGTACCGTATATCACAGTACAGACAGTCTCCCAAGTTCTTTGCTGACCATTCATTTGTTTGTTATTTGCCCTTTTGCATGAAGCATGTGGCATGTGGTTTCGTGAATCTACGGAGCTATTCTCATCCTTCCAATTGTCCTCTATCTCTCTCTCTCTCTCTCTTAAGAAGACTGCCAATCAATGCCCGGTCTATCACCACGTGATGCGGGGTTAGGCCTCATCGCTGGGAGGCAATCATTTTTCCTGGAACAATACATACCCATACAACTATTCATAGTTAATCATACTGAGGTTCAAAGTTATTGCTGACTGTATCTTATCTTGCAAGACGGAAGAAAAGAAGGAGATCCAGTAGAAGAAGGGAGTGAGGGGGTATCTTAACATCTTATCAAGAGTAATCGTAGTCATCTATGTATACAAAAAAGAAATTACCCTCAAACACCCTTATTTCCGTTGCAAGACCAACTCAAGGACACGCTGCGCTTTGCTGCCCTCCAGGTACTCTCTTCCCTCTCGGCGCCGGTCATCTTCGTCCTCGTCATCGCCCAGTTCCAGATCCACTTGAAGACTGGCCTCATATGCGCTCATTACTGTCTCCTCATCCACCCGGATACCTCCGTTTACCAACACTCGGATGCACTGCGCCAACCGGGCGATCTCGCGTCTCGTCTGTGGCGGGATCTCGTCGTTCTGACTGGAGTAGATCGAGCTCGACACCATTTCTTCCATACGCGTGATCGAAACGTTTTCTGTCGTCGACGAGGCCGCCGTTGCGCCGTCTGCGTGCTTCGAGATCCAGATATAGCCGTTCACACCCAGAATTACATCGACATCTCCGCCCCCATTGGCTGTGCTGACGGTCCAAACCTGCCTCCGTGACCGAACCACACCGCCGACTGCGCCCGTCGCAGCTGCCGCGCTTCCTACACCACCCTTGACAGTCGAGCTAGATGCGCCACTGCCGCCCGTGCCCGTCACAGCGAGGAACACGCCATTCCTTAGTTTCCCGTACTTCAGAGACCGCGTGTGAAGCGAAGCGCCTCCATCCGAATGTACACTTTGGACCTCAGCCACGACCAAGTCTCCTTCGCTGAAGAACGTTCGGATCTGCAGTTCGTCGGCGCTTGTGCGGCGGCGGAGGATACCTCCCGGTAGGTTGATTGCCGAGAGAGGCAGTTGAGCGAGTAATGGAGCGGCGACATCGACTTTCCACCGGCGGGACTGTACTTCGACAATGCGCCCTACCACCAGGTCACCGATCTCTGGAGTGTATCGTGCACGGAGGGGCTGGACGGAAAGCAGCTTGTTGGTCTTCTGCACAGTACCGGCAACAGTGGCGATGATTGAAGTTGATAGCGGGTTTGTATAGGTACCATGACCTCTGCGCCGCGGGGTGGAACAAAATGCATTAGCCATGGTGGTCAAAAAAGAAGAGATGACTGTTGTTGCAGGATTACGAACCTCATCCATTGCGGATCATCAGTGACAACCTCACCCGGTGTCAAGACTCCGGCGACGATATTGGTGCCTTCAACCAACCGTTGACGCTTGTTGGGTCTGGATGAACTGCCTGCCGCCAATTCTACGCCGCCATCCGAATCGACGGACATGGCATCTGAGTCGGAGTCGAAACTGGGCAGGTCAACATCTTCCACCACCGGGGGCAGAATTGTAATAGCCATGCTTGAAATGTTATCGAGTAGCAAATAATCAATGATGTAGATGGTAAGGTAAATTTTCTCCAATTGGGTCGGACGGGAAATGCTGGGAGTTGGTTACATTCGTTGCTTTCTCGTCGGTCATTCTGCGAAGACTTTCCGGACCGGGAACAAACCAGACAAACTTCTGGTGGATATTCACGTGAATCTTGCTACTTTAGCATTTACTCCAAGTATAGCCTACCACAACCCTTTCCATTAATGAAATATTTCTATTCTGGCTCTTTGCTTTTTTGTAAACACAAAAGGACTACAAACATTGGTTGACTACGTGAGATAGAAGCTCAGTCTCCAGAGGAAGATGTCAGTTTTGCATAACGTTTTATCGAAGTGCAGGCTTGATTAGAGTACAAAACCGACCAACATAAGATCCTCTATAAATACTATACATAGAAGTATCACCCGAGTCCTGAGTCCCAGTCCGATACTGCCGGCCATTCCTCCCCCCTAGAATAATGACGCTAGATGAGATACTGTGGGCTCAAGCATTTATGCCCGAGGACCGCTTCGATGTCCGCTTCGCAGGAGTAGAACCATCATCGTCCTTGTCCTTCTTCTTCCGGCTTGGACGACTGCTGCCACCCTTAGGCCGATATCCACTGTCTTCATCCCGCTTACGTTTTCCCTTGGCACCCCCAGTGGTCGATGCAGTCTCCATATAAGAGCCATCGTCATCATACATGTCGTCGTCCTTTCGAGCCTGGGCCGTGGCTCTCTTAGACGCACGCGAGGGCCGAGAGCCAGACTTCTCGGAAGCGTTCTCGTTGTCTTGAAGGAAAATCTGGGGCTGATTTCGGCGAAGCCAGTTATGCACGGATATCGGTATACGTAAATTGGCATCCCGCGTACGTTCGACGAGGGTTGATTTACTCGGAATAGACACCAGCTGCTCGATGGCACTCTCATCGCCCAGTTTGGCATCCAACGCCCGGTAGTACTCGGTCTCATGCTCAGGAGTCAGGAATCCAAGCTCGTGGGCGGGATAATGATCCTCAGCTTGATTGTCGGACAAAGGTGCAGAATGGGGCACCTGTGTTAGGGACGTGTACTGTAGGCGCGGTGCAAACGCTTTGCTTCGCCGAACGTCGTCCTCCAGTTCACGATAGGCATGAGCATTCATCCGACCAGCAGCCATACGACCTTTGGCATCCTTTAGCATGGATCTCGCGATGGCGGGATCATTGTAGGAGGCTGGAATATCTCGATCGGGAGGTGGCAGGAAGGTCTCATCTCCTGGCGCACTCAAGTCGTATCGTAGACTGGAAGACACGTGGAGGCTGTCGTTGAATTCAAGCAGAACCTCTAGAAGTTGACTGTAGCACTGTCAGTATCGATGGAAATCAATCAGGCGAGGGCGATGAATGCATACTCATTCTGTTCCTGGATTCTCTTAGAAAGATCCTCGATGCGCAATCCTTCGCGAATGAGCGCCTCGCTTTCCCCCATCTGCATTTCGAACTTCATTTTGAGCTTCGCAAACTTCTTTCTGATTGGCGATCATGATTAGCTAGTGACCTAAGGACCATGCTGCTATAGAACTATGCTCACTTGAAAGACTTGTAGGACTGCCGAGTAGGGGCGCCGACGGAGGCATCCGGCAGACTTTCAGCCACCGATCTTGTCTCGTCAAGTGTTTGGGACATGACGAACACGCAGCACAATTGAAAATGAAGAGTGGATTTAATTCTTTTCCCCTTTCCTGTTGTTGGAAGGGTTGAGGCGTTCTAGAATTAGGAGGCTAGGGAAACTGATTAAGGGAGGAGTGAGATTCAACTTATGTGAGTGTTTGACACTGGGGTCACTCCCTTTACAGGACCAGCGAATCGGGCTGGAAGGATTCCGCCAAGCCCAGACCCAGAGTTGATAAGGCGGAGTGTTTCTGCCCGCCGCAAAGAAAAGCGATAGGGAATGGAGAAAAAAAATTATCTCCGACTGCGACAAGAGCTATTCACGCATACTTCTCATTCTTTGTTGTGAGAACTCTTCATAATTCTTGATTGCGACCTTCAAATTCACTTATACGGCATAGTTCTGTCAGGTCCCGAATTTGTGCAATCATAGTCATGGCTAGCATCGGGGAAGGAACCCAAAAGAAGCGCAAGCTCACAGACGTTGAAGAGATCGAGATCGACGTCTCTGCCCCTGAGCCGCCATCGAAGAAAGCTTTGCGTAAAGCGAAGAAAGCAGCCACTGCAAAGCCCTCCGAGTCTACCACAGAGACTGAAGCGGTGGCCGCTGTCGAAAAACCTACTACTGCCCCCCAAAAGCGTTCAGATCACGGTGTCTGGATTGGAAATCTTGCCTTTTCTGTCACGAAGGATGATCTGCGCACCTTCTTGACGAGCAACTGCTCCTTCGCGGACACGACCATTACACGCATACATATGCCCAAGGGCGCGGAAAAGTTCGGAAAATCTCAGAACAAGGGCTTCGCTTATGTCGACTTCTCCACTCAGAAGGCGGCCGAAGAGGCAATTGGCCTCAGTGAGCAGCTCCTAACGGGTCGTCGCGTGCTTATCAAGGATGCAAAGAGCTTTGCTGGAAGGCCAGATAAGCCCAAGGAAGACGGTCAAACGGGCTCTGCAGCACCCGGTCATGCCCCCTCCAAACGCATATTTGTCGGCAACCTCGGCTTTGACGCCACCAAAGAATCCATTGAGGAACATTTCGCTCAATGCGGTACTGTGGCTAACGTACATGTGGCGACCTTCCAGGACTCCGGCAAATGCAAGGGTTACGCTTGGGTGGTGTTTGAGGATCTTGTCGCAGCTGAAGCAGCGGTGAAGGGCTATGTGCTAGTGAAAGAGGATGATGAGGAGGAAGACGACTCCGAACCAGAAGAGCGCAAAAAGCCCAGGAAGCCCCGGCAGAGAAAGATTTGGGTGAACTTCCTTCTGGGACGGCGGCTGCGTATGGAGTTCGCCGAAGACGCCACTACTCGCTACAAGAAACGGTTCGGAAAGGACGGCGAGGGCAAGAGAAATAACAACTCAGAGACCGGCGATGCCGAGGCCGGAGAATTCGAATCCACCGAAGAGCAGCCTCGCCAAGCACGACCTCCTAGAGCCAAGCAAGCGAAGCCCGAATATACAAGATACGACCAGGACACAGTGCAGAAGCTTAGTGGTGCCATTGTTGAATCCCAGGGCAAGAAGAC